CCAGGAGACCGGTCATTCACCATGATGTGTGCTGACCGCTAGGGGGCAGTGCGGAATGAAGGAAGGCCCTAGCCAGCAGCCAGAAGGAAGGCCCCGATCATCCCTGATCACTGGCCAGGCCTAGGGACCATACACATTCATGAATTTTGTGCACTGGGCCTCTAGTAACTAAATAAATGACTACATGAAGGCAGGCCATGCTTGATCCAATCATTAACATGTGCCATGAACCTAAAGGCAGATGATTTATCCAATTGTGTGTATCTGAGATGTCATTTAAAATGTAAGTGTAGCCTGGCCATCATGGCTCAGTGGTTGAGCATCGACCTAGAACCAGGAGGTCATGGTTTGATTCCCAGTCAGGGCATATGCCCGGATTGTGGGCTTGATCCCCAGTGTGGGGTGTGCAGGAGGCAGCCGATCAATGATTCTCTTCATCATTAATGTTTCTCTCTCTCCCTCTCCCTTTCTCTCTAAAATCAATAAAAATATATTTTAAAAAATAAAATACTAGTAAATAAAATGTGAGTCTGGACAAAATAAGAAGTATTGAGAGGATTCAATGATTAGAGAGTACAGGGCATACAGTAAGTGCTCAGTAGATGCTAGCTCTTACTATTACTGTTATTATTGATGAAATTGCCTCTCAGCTATGCAGAGCATTTCCCTGTTTTAGGCTATTACTGTAACTTGAAAACCACCTTGTTTGGAGCCCCTTAGAAGTCAGGCAATGGTTCTCACTCAGGTCAATAGTACAACTTAGCCTTTCCCTCCTCACAGGCTCACTGCACTTACCGTCCTGGTCTCAGTTTACTGTTACTGGTCCAGAGACACTTCCTTCACCTCCCTCATCCTCCTGTGGAGCTTATTAAAATTCCATGGTGCCTACAAAACCCTGTAGCTGGCTGGTGTTTGCTTACTCACTGTCCTGGCCTCTGAGCTCTGCAGGGGCAGGAATCACATTGATTTGACCTAAGGATCAGTCCGGGACTTGACCACAGTAGGTGCTTAGCAAATATTTGTTGGGTGAGTGAACAAAAGGCCTCTGTTTGCAAATAGTAGAAATCACTCACCCCTGGAGCCGTTTTGAGCATGAACTATTAGGAGAGTACTTAGCACACCGTGATAGTAATCAGTTATTGAAAAATACTCATTTTCTTGAAGCAGGCACATACATACATACATTGAGTTCCCTAAGGACGGCAATAGAAAAAAAACAAACACCATTGTAAACATGGCTGCCATTCATTGTCCTGAAGGGTGTTTTCTACGTTTGTAGAAAGAAAAGGAGAACAATTGCTGGCCAGTGCCCATTTGTTAAAGATTTGCATGAAAAGGGAAAGGCAAGTCTGTCTCTGTTTCCACATGTCCTTCTGTTCTCACAAAGTCCTCCCCTTTTCTGAAAGACATAGCCTCACTTGTTTCTGACTCGGGCATGACTGGCTGCACTTGCCTAATGCAATCTGTACTTAATTCAGTTGGTAGCCTGCTGAGAGGGGAGTGGTAAATGCAGAAAGTAGCCACCTAGGATGCCAGGTACTAGCAGGTTCTAATTCTGTGACTTCTTTAACAGCCAGTATGGCTAGTCACTTAACCCAGTAGGGGCTTTATGTTTCTTCTCAAACACAATGGATTGGGCTAGTTAAGCGAAATAAGCATTAAGGTTCTTCCATCTCTAAAACTGAACTCTAACATGGACACATTTCACATGTTTGATATGTGCACATCATTGGTGTAGTCTTGTCTTCCTTGTCTGCCTTTTAGAGCTCACCTATTTTATGGACAGTGTGAGCAGGCTCTGATACA